CTGACAGAATACTGCCAGGAGCACCACATGACACCCGAGGAAGCTGTGAGCCAGCTGCGCGCAGACGTCTTTGCAAGAGCCAAGATCACCGTCTCCGCTGGCATCGCCGCCAATGCTAAACTCGCCAAGATTTGCTCAAATCAGAACAAGCCAAACGGGCAGTTCCTGCTTGCCAGCGACAGACAGACGATCATGGAGTTCATGAAGACCCTACCTACACGGAAGGTCAACGGTATCGGTCGCGTCTTCGAACGAGAGCTGGATGCCATAGGCGTCAAGACATGCGGAGACATATACGCACATCGAGCATATATGGCAAAGCTATTTGGGCAGAAAGCATTTCAATTCTTGATGCAGTGCTATCTAGGCCTAGGGCGTACCGTCATCAAGCCAGCGGAAGACCATGAACGCAAGAGCGTCGGCACTGAAACCACCTTCAGAGAGCTACAGGGCCGCGATGCCCTGCGCGACAAACTTCGGCATATCGCCGAGGAATTAGAAGGGGATCTCAAACGCACCGAGTACAAAGGAAGAACTCTCTGCATCAAGATCAAGCTTCACACCTACGAAGTACATACGCGACAGACGACGCCACCTTTTGCTATACACAAAGCAGACGACCTCTTCAAGTACAGTCTACCGATGCTAGAGAAGCTCATGAAGGAAATACCAAACATGAAACTACGCTTAATGGGTTTACGAGCTACGCACATCATCAGCACGAAGAAGCCTGGAATCGACTTCTTCGGCCGCGCAGCCAAGACATCTTCGACCACCACCACCACTAAGACTCCCGCCTCGAAAGACGAAGGCACATGGGAGACATGGCCTGAGGAAGAGTTCGAAGAAGCCGCACGACAAGAACGAAATAACGAAATGAACGAATTAGAGAAGCTGTCTCAGGAACAGGAGCAACAGCAAGGTGAACAGCCGCCAGCCGAACCACAGTGGCAATGTCCTATCTGCTCTATTCCACAGGCGCCAGATGATGCAAGCTTCAACGCGCATATAGACTTTTGCCTTTCGAAACAGACTATCAAGGAGGTTGTCAAGTCTACAACACCGCTGCCGCCCCCGCTGCCAGCTTTCGAGAAGCAGTCTAGTGTTTCCAAGACAGTATCCAAGAAGGGCAAGCGCGGAAGACCGAAGAATGAGGGGACATCATCTGAGCAGGAGGCTAGGGAGAAGAGACGAGCGTTCTTCACGCTTGGAAACGGATGATCTGGGATAACACATAGGTAATGCAGAAGTTATTCGACTACTCGTCATGCCGTCGTCGGCTGTTTGCGTTCGCAATGTGATCTAGAGATGAGATCTCCCTCGAATTCCAAAGCCGACTAACTAAACAGATACACTTGAGAAGGTAGATCCATAATCCACCACAACCCTTTCACTTTCCTCAGCACACGCAAGTCCAGATCCCGTCTGTCCAGAAGCTTCCTGGCCTTTGCATCATCAGTTTCCATGTCAGGTTCAGTTTCGGGTGAGTTATCCGCTGCTCTTTCCTTGCCCTTCCCTCCGGCTTCCGTTCCATCCGCAGCGTCAGAATCCATTACACCAGGAGCGTCGTCCTCCACCCCAGCACACATCCCTGCAGCACCGCCACCATCTTCCTTGACTTCAACAACCCAGCACGTACTCGTGCTCCTAAGCTTCGGCCTTGGCAACACCTCGCGTTCTGGATCATACGGCGTAGCCACCAGACACGGCCCATCCACATCAAAAGCCGCCAACAGCGTCCTCTCTCTCAACCTCTCCTTCCGATCCGACCAAAGATCTCTCCGCAGGATCTCCGGGTACGTAACCATAATGTGGCGTGTACCCCCCATTTTGCCATTCTTCGCAAGATCGCTCTCGATGGCTACGGTGAGGAACTGGCGGGCAAGTTGACGGCTTACAACGGACCGCATGGATGATGGGATTGCGGATAGTTGGTCGTTGTGTGCTTGGAGGTCTTCTTCGAAGGTGGTGCTGGTGTGTGAGTCTGGGGGTGAGGTAAGACGGGCTGGTCGTTTGGGTGGCGTGTAGGCTCCGCACCAGAGGCGGCCGTGCTGCATTATGTGGTCGATGAACCATAACTGCGCGAGACTCGCTTCGAGCGTCTCGTCGAGCTGTAAGGTGGCAAAAGGGCGGTTTGCAACATCCGGGTGGGCGAAGAGCGTGTCGTCGACTTCATCTGGGAGTTGGTGCTGTGAGTCTGGGACTTGATCCGTTCGGACGGAGTGCCATATGCTGTTGGCCAGTCCCTTCATTAATTCTCCTTCTTCCTCGGGTGCGGCCAGCGTGTACCTGATGTAGCGGAGAATGCTAAAGACAATCTGAGCGATGGTGTTACGCATTTCGGGGACTTGCTGGACGCGCTTCGCATCGAGTTTTCGCTTTACTTGTATACCAGCGTGATCGAGGTTTCCCCACACAGACGATTCATTTGGGATATGACCCCAACGGCGGAAATCCTGACGAGCCTGCGTGGCTACATTCGGTTGGTTGAAACGCTGGAGGAACGCCACTTGACGCGCACGAGCTTGTTCCACGGTCTCGTCTTTCTGGCGATCAAACAGTATGACCCAGCATTTGTAGGATTCCCATGTATCGGCCCACTCTGCTTGGATGGGTGTGAAGTCGATCTCGCGATCTACTGACCACAAATAGGAATGGAGAAGCATCCCTTCGGCAGTGAATCGACCTTGTCTGCTTGTTTGGAGTCGTATATTGATGTAGTCGCGAACTTCACAGTATTCGATCCGATGAGCCTCCAGGAAGATGTTCTGGAACAAGTTCGAGCTCGATACACTTCCAGCGTAGATATCTCCTTGGCTCTCGTGGCCCTCAGGTAGATATGCCTCTGGTACTAGCAAGGACAGGTCGCCATTGCTCAACGCCAATGCCAATATAGCTAGACGCAGTGAGTGGCAATTGGCGTTGACTTTCCTTGTGTCAGTCGGAAGTCGTAATCGCACATGTTCGCTATGATAGCAAGTCTATCAGCGTTGAAGTAACATTCGCGATGCTTCAGCAGTGTCAGAGCTCCCGCGGCGTTGATCGTAGGACGCTTTCCGTAGAACCCCTCGGTGTGAGCCTGTACGATCTGATTGATTGTGTTTGCTTTCTCAGTTCTTGGATGGAGGCGGTCTGCTACTTCAAGCACGGATCGAGCTCCCGGGTATACTTCTGGTCCAAGCCCAGATCGGGCAAGATAGTTTCCCATATGAACAAAGTCGCGTGTAAGCAGAGATCGCATCTGGTCTAGAATACGCCAGAATCCACGCAAGTGTATGCAGACAAGCTTTGACTCCCAGCTTCCACGATGATCGTCGAGTGAGTGGTAAGGACGGAGATCTTCTCCCTCCGCTCGCCCAAACCGAAAGCTGGATTGGAAAGTAATCCCTGGGCCGCGTCGGAAAGCCAGCATCAGTCCATTCCCAGCACAAATCGACTCTTGAACAACCCACGCACGGGTGTACCACCGGTCTTGACTGGTTCGGTGAAGGAAATCGAGGATCTGTTCGCAGAAGCGGCGATCTATTACGCTTCGCTTCCCTGTTCGGCCAGGATACAGTAAAGACTCGATGGCTGTAAGTTGCTCCTGCGATGTGATCTCGACGTCGAGTAGACCCGCCGTGACGACGGCTCTGTTATACACAATGTCCATCGACTGTATACCGAGCTCTTGCTCCTCCCAGTCTTCTTTGGAACTGGTTTCAGTCGGCTGAGGGAGACACTCTTGATCGATCCATATCATGCGAAAGCCGTATGAAGTGGCAAAGTCCACAGCACGATCTAGAACATCGTCGAGAGCGCGACTGGCGCGGACGCGTCCGTCGAGATCACGGACCGTGTAGGTTCTCGGGGTCGGGTTCTCTCCACGAGGAGGCCAGCAGTATGACACCGCTACATAATGTATGCATATGTCGCGCGAGCTGACGCCGTTCCCACTGAACCATTCCGGATGATCAACCACCGGATTGACCAGACGGAATTTTCTAGGCTTCCACCTGTGCGGAAACTCGGGATATGATGCGCAAACGCGGCATTTAGTTTGTGTGGATTTGTTGGCTTGTTCTGAGTGTTCAGCGACACTGCCTCCCTTTGCATTTGGAACCTCGCCACCTCCTTCTGGGTCTTGGGCTTTGTGATTTCCAAGACTCATATTTATAGCGTACTCCTCCTTTCCCTCTTCGTCGTCGCTGTCAAAATCGTCGAGTTTGACATCTGAGTCGTCATAAACCAAGAAGCGAATGCGCCTTGACGCCCAATGTCGAGCATCCGCTCGCTCGAAGGCATGTTCGGAAATTTTCGCCATGTCTCCGAAGAACCCTGGTCCTATAGATGTCGAAGTGTTCATAAGATCATTTTCCATGTTCGCTGTTCCGTTCTGACGATCAGATTTGCGGATGTCGATCTTCTTCTCTTGCTGTCAACCGTATTATTTGTCTGCTCGAGCGCCGTCTTGGACTGACATGCACGTGATCTGCTGCTGGTTCAGTAAGGTGCCTAAGATCGTACTGAGGAGCTCCTCATGTCCCGAGAATCTAGAGCATTAAATACCCTTACCGGTGAGAAGGCTACAGTTGCAAGGCTGGCCACGCCCCATTCATTCCAAGTAGCTTGCGCGTACGGTATCACCAACCATTCAGGAGTCTTTGGCTATATTGAAAATAAGCACCAACATTTGCGTGCACACAATCTGTCACCCATTGCGGCATGCTGTGCGATGTGCAATTGAGTCGTCTTACAAGAGGCTGTGTGATAAGGATAAGTGGAAAGCATGCGTAGAGACGGATTCTCTGCGTTCTTCCAGAAGTGTTGGCCGGTCGCACGCGTGTATGACATAATACTCGGCATGTCATGCGTGTGTTACAGCGATATGATGGAAGCTGTAATCAATAAAGTGTGTGTCGTAGTTCATCGTTCAAAATCCAGTTGTAATGTGAAGTTTCGTGTGCGTGATGCAAGCGGCATCAGTCATATCTCTGGTCTCTGCATTCCTGTAGCAGCCGATGTCGTGATTTTAGCCATTCCAGGCTTGAGGCTCTCGTGTCCAGTAAGAGTGCTCTAAAGCAATACGTTTAATGACTGCATCCATAAATAGCAGGTTGTTTGATGAAGAACAAAGCTCGTGGCTGAAGGCAGAAGTTGGATGGGCGTAGCGCAGAGGCAGGCGGCTACTCTCGCCCCACCAAACCCACTCACATCCCACCCGCGGACTCGTGCAACAATCATTCTCCACCCAAGCGCCGACGAAGATCCCCTGCCTTGCTGTTCTCGCGACTGGACCCTTTTATTTAATCATCACCCCCCTCGCTCACCACGACGGCGTCACCAGCCCCAGCCCCCGACAAGCCGCCAAAGCCGCCCTCGCCGCTGCGCATCGCCAGCCAGCTCACGACCGCCTCGGCCATCCTCTGGGACCCCAAGTTCACCTCGCGAGCGCCCCCGGGCAGCCTCCAGCCCGTCCACGCCGGCACGCTTGTCGCCCCGCACCGCACCGACTCGTCCATCAGCGTCCGCAACCTCGGCGACGGCTACACACAGCCCATCGTGCCTACCATGGACAACCGCCGTCACCCCAGCTCCTTCCAGCAGCTCGAGAAGCTCGGCGAGGGCACCTATGCCACGGTAGGCAGGAGCGCCATGTCGGCTATACTGTGTGCTAACGTGCCCAGGTCTTCAAAGGTAGAAACCGCCAGACGGGCGAGCTCGTAGCCCTCAAGGAGATCCACCTCGACTCGGAGGAAGGCACGCCCTCGACGGCTATCCGCGAGATTTCCCTCATGAAGGAACTACGCCACGAGAACATCGTCCTGCTGCACGACGTCATACATACCGAGAACAAGCTCATGCTCGTCTTTGAGTTCATGGACAAGGACCTCAAGCGATACATGGACTCGCGCGGCGACCGCGGTGCTCTGGACCCGGCCACCATCAAGTCCTTCATGTACCAGCTGCTCAAGGGAATCGCCTTCTGCCACGAAGCCCGCGTCCTCCACCGCGACCTGAAGCCCCAGAACCTCCTGATCAACAACCGTGGCCAGTTGAAGCTGGCCGATTTCGGTCTCGCTCGCGCCTTCGGCATCCCAGTCAACACCTTCTCCAACGAAGTCGTAACCCTGTGGTACCGCGCCCCCGATGTGCTGCTCGGCAGCCGGACCTACAACACCAGCATCGATATATGGTCAGCAGGCTGCATCATGGCTGAGATGTACACCGGGCGGCCGCTGTTCCCCGGAACCACCAACGAAGACCAAGTCCAGAAGATATTTAGGCTGATGGGCACACCGTCTGAACGATCATGGCCAGGCATCTCGCAGCTGCCAGAGTACAAGAACAACTTCCCCGTATACCACACCCAGGATCTGCGCCTTATATTGCCGCAAGTCGACCAGGTGGGGCTTAGTCTACTCAACTGCATGCTGCAGTTGCGGCCAGAGATGCGCATTAGTGCTGCGAACGCCCTTTCACATCCGTGGTTTAATGACCTGCCTCAACGGCAGCAGGAGATGCAGATGCAGGCCCAAGCACAGGCACACGCGCAGGCCCAACAAGCGCAGATGGGCGGCTACCAGGTGCCTCAAAACGCATACTAGACGTATGTCCCCGTTAATCAAGAAACGCAAATTCGAATGAATCTCATAACGGCGCAACTGGAGGCTGCCTATACTGCACGCGAGTATGACAAGTACGCGCCCGGGACGAGTCGAGATTCGTATTGCTATAATGGAATATAGTTTATCTGGAATGGGCAAACGTACATTCCCGGTTTCCCCGGTTCGACATGGCCCGGAGGGTCAGTTTAGTGTGAAGGCAAGCGCCTCAAAGTGGCGACGACGATTGGTGTGACCGGCGGATTACGACCGGCGGATTGTCAGTTGCCACCGCGCCCGTACGTGTCGATGGGGAGGCTTGGTGTGTGGAATGGGGAAACTTTTGTCATGGTTGGAATGGGGCCGCTTGATAAGGGTGACTCGTTCAGACGATTCATAGACATGCGGCATGTTCTTGAGATTGTTTTTTGGTTGGCATCTTTAGATGGCTGTGGAACGTATATTTATTCCATGAAGCCCTTTCTTATTGGGTAGCTACTCCCAAACAACGACGCATTATTACGAAGGTTTACACTGCTTTGACAAAGATACCATATATTCCTTTGTTCAATGTTTCCAGTGACGGGTACAACGCGTACGGACGTGCTTCTTCGTACGTACAGTTCATAATCGAGGTACTTCAATCTCTCTCTGACGAGTGGACGAGAGTATTATTTTGGCCATCGTCACCAAGGTATTCACCCCGGACCCTCAAGCCTGTCTACTACCTCGTACGTTAGTCCTGCCAGACTTAACCAGACCAGTATGTTAAGAACTGGCAATCAATACCCGCCAGAATCTATTTCCTCCCTCTCACGCCAGTTCCACGACTAGACCTGAGTGCATTTCAAGTCATATACACCAACAATGTTCGGGAAGGCAACTACTGGAGAGCAGCTTCTAGTGTGTTCACTGTCGGAGCGGCGTGATCTATCTTACCTTTCTCCTGTGATAGTCCTACCGTCTTTATTACCCGGCATAGAATAGTCACGATTTTCGTTTTGCTCGTGGACGTGCCGTGCCGGCTCTAGCATCCGTCTTCTTCTACGTCCGCGTGCAATCTCAGAACTACCTGCGTAGCATATACAATATCTCTAGCCGAACTTTGCGTTGCAGGAAACATCCCACACAAAGTTAAAAAGCCACGAAGTGCAGCTCGCGCTGTAACACCAAGCTATTCAACAGTCTTCCGCTGCTAGAACTACACCGTCTTCTCGCGCACGGATAAGAGAGAATGACAATGCTGATGCTACGGCAATATATAGTACGAAGACGCCCCTCCTAGCACAACCCCTAATATCTTACACTCTAATATATTATACTTGCGACTTCTCCTATCTACGAGAGTGTGCCGTCTCTCCGTCTAGATCTTCGATGCTAGGGAAGTCGTGAGTGACTTGTTTCGCTCTGCGTTGTCGTAATACTGTTGGGTGAAGTAGAAGTTTAATCCCTAACATTTTACTTCGAAAGGTAGAGGATAAAGCACTATCTTCTTATCTTTGCTCTTGAAGCAATACTGGCGGCTTGGAGAAGTTGGGGTGCGCGATAGCTACTAGATTGCGTGCGCTTGTATAGTGTCTTGAGTGTAGATAAGGTAGTAGGTTGACTGGTTAGGGGATGTGTGTTGAGAGGATTAGATTAGATTAGAGAAGAAGAAGAAGAATGTAGAGTAGAAAGAAGAGATTAAGAGAGCAGTGAAGAGCTTAGAGAGAAGCAGAGAAATTAAGAGCTCGTTGTAATAGCTGATGCAGTGAAGGAATAGGGATATTGGAATACATGGCGAGATTAGGGCAGATTGTGAGGGACGAGAGATGTGTTTACCGTGTTGGAACGTTAGAGGATAACGTGTATAGTAGGAGGGGGAGAATAGGTTGGGAGAAAAGGAGGGAGAAGAGTGGGAAGTCTTGCGGTGCTGCTGGATTTGGACAAGGTATTGTTTGCGCTTTTGATGAACGGATAGAGAGATTGGGGGCTGTATACTGCGATATTAGGCTCCGGCCTGCCGTACTATAGTTATTAGCACTCTTGCCTATCCTCTCTCTCTCTTGCGGACAGTGCAATATTGCATTTACTTCGCTATAACATCTCTCTAGACATTACGTAGTTTCTGCAAGAGAGCAACGCGCATTCTTTTGCTTAACTATCTCGGTCTCTCTATATCTTCCTTGCCCTACCCGAACATGCTTGATTGTAGCTAGGAACAGACTACCTAGGCAAGACATATTCTCGCTTTATAATCTTAACGAAAAGCTCTATATGTTACTAGGAAGATGCTCGCGCATCTGATTGCTTAAATATCTCTCTATGCCTTCTTACAGCACTTTGTTAGGCTACCTTGTACTAAAGCAGCTGCGCCTCGCTTCCTTGTATTGCTCTACATGCTGCGGACGCAGGAGTGTAACTAGAGTTATGCGCGACTCACTCTGAAACGCGGCAAGTTCTCCTTAGTTTGGTTTATGGCCGTGTGCAATCTTAGTCTCTTCCGAAGATACGAGGGCTGAGTCTCGCGACTTACGCCCTTGCTTTACTTCTGATTAAGCACTACGACTTTGCTGTCTATGCTACTTTGTGGCTTCTCCTCCGTCTTGTCTTCGCTATTAGGGCGTAGTTCTAGTTTGGTCTGGTCATTGAGATGGTTCTTTGGTATACAGTGTGATCGTGATAGCTTTGCTGTGATTCTCAGCCAGTCACTGAGAAGGGAGCGTAACGAAGACAGGAACTGCGAGCGTAGATGCGCAATTCCATCCTCACATTCTTTCTTTAGACACCAGCAGCAGCACATCATCGTTGTATACTCTGGTCGTTGAGAAGGAACTCTACCGAGAACCATGATACGTCTTAGCACTGGCACATTCGTGACAGCAATCGATTAGATAGGATGCGAAGGTAGTGCCAGTCTATTCAACATCAATTGGCCGTATCGACTCGTGAGAATGGGTCGTCTTTGAAAGGATGAGTAGTGTTTGAGAATTGACGATCTCAATCTTCATTCCATATTTACTTTCGAACAAAAGCTTGTACGGGTAGACGGATCTAGGCGAGATGTCAGAAAGATTAGGTTGGTACTTCGCTTACTTGTTTCAGATTTCGGGAGTGAATGCCGTGATTGTGGTGAAAGATACTTTGTGTGTTTGGGAGAAGTTGGAGAAGACGGGTACTCTTCCGTTCGGCCAACGCGGACTCCAAGTGATGCGTCCACCGCGCGAATAGAAATGAATGTCAACTTTTCTACGCAGGATACTTACCCCGTTCCAGTTACTAGTAATGAGACGGCTGTTATTCCCTTGACGAATAGACTTATGATGTGGTGGCGGGCGTGATTGCTGCATAGCTACCTTGGTAGTCTCGAAGCTCTATCGGTAACTGTGAGCATGCTCTCGCAGTCTTCTTGCGATCGCAGTCGTCTCGGGATAACTCGATTGTAGCGGTTGTAAGCGGTACATTGGGTGGTTGGGTATGTAACCTTGGAAGGGCGCCGATTTGCCGACAGAGTCTGAACTGGTACGTCTCCGTTTGCATCCACGGTACTGCTATGTGCTGTCCTAGTCATGTTACTTGTCAACAAATCTCTCCATCGCACAACAGGGCGTCTTGGGGATACCATGGTGCTTTTCTCGATTCATTGCACTAAGGGAAGACTCAGTTTTAGCAAAGCAAGTTGGTAGATGGACTCCGTACTGTGCGTACCTGACTGGCGATACAGTCGTCGAATAGTCGGTAACATCTGACGTTCAAACAAGATATGCAAAGGCCATGATGATCGTTCCATGTACAAACAATCCGTCTGACGATGTACGCTGAAGCTTACCTGAGATGTGCAGCCTGAGCTCAGGGCACTGACTCTTCCCGCGTTGTACCTCGTACGAACCTCACAGTGATGTGCCGGAGGTATTGCCGTATCTAGTTTTTGATCTGCCTTTCCACGATCCATGACTCAATCAGCATAGACGGATGGCCTTACATTGTTTCGACAAATCGGACGGGCAGTTGTGCCTTCTGTATTGGGGGATACCTAGGTAGAGTTCTTTCCACACCATGCATGAAGCTGCATGATGTCATCGCAGGAAACCGCTTCCTCTTGACCCAACATCCATCTCAATGAAGCCATATCGCATGTTCGAGACACCAAAACGCCATGTTCATGCTAACGAGTGACGTTGGCTTCAGTCCTCCGCGGAGCTCATGCCAAGCATCACGAATCTTACCAATGGCGCAGCCGCTAGCGGAGCATAGACATGGGAAGGTACATACATAGCATTGCCAACGCCCCGGATCTACAACAAGCCTCAACACCATCGCTTATTCACCCATTACCAAGACTGCATCTCACGAACTTTTGAGTTTCTTCGTGGGCAATCTTGCTGCCTTCCGAGCCATGACGTGTGGCGTACCTATGATACGACTGGTGGCAAACCTACTTCTGGAGGCGGGTCCAGCGTGTCTCATTCGCGGTCTCGACGCCGTTGAACCAATTTTGATCGCTGCCGGCAGCATCTCGGAACCTTGACTGTCTCGATCCGACGGTGGAGACCGCAAAAGGCCCTTTAGGAAAGAGGATATAAGCCATGAGGGAGTCGCTACTGTCCCCAGTACAGAAACTCAGAGTTTGCTATCTCGTGCGGAGAAGCACAATGGTCGACGACGCCTCGTGGCGAATGCGGCATCCCATGCAGCCCTCACTCGCTACGCTTACCAGGGGTATTTCCGCGAACCTTACCAACGCATCGCCAGCTGCGCCTCGCTGAAACTACCCATCGAATACGGATTCGGATTATGGCTACAGTCTACCTTACCTCCCGACCAGATGCATGACCTCTGTCGTACCTGTTGGGTGGCATGACGACGACTGCGGCGGCAAACACCGGCCCATACCGCCAATTAGGTGTACATGAAATCTCTCGAGTATGGAGCAACTGTCGGCGCCATTGCTCCGTTTCATGACCATCCCGTGGGACATGGCCAGTCAGTACCAGTTTTGATGTTCGGGAAGCGGTCAGTCCGGA